ATTTCCCATCAGAGTGTTTGAGCCTATTTAGCTGAGCTGAAACCTGCACCCTTGACTCCTGGCAAAGCTGGTGAAAAGCATTTTCATATACAGGTATGGTTACTCCATGCTTGGAGAAGCCTGGATCTGAAGTCCAGTCCATGTTGGTTGTGCTGATAAAAATTTTAATAGCAAGTAACAAAGGGGTTTTTCTTGTGCGAGTGGCAATTGGTAGAGAAAAATCATATATTGAACTCTTGACACATTCAATTTATTATTGCAATGAGCAGTGAAAGTTTTCAAGTCTCCTATTGGTAACATTTTTTTTGCAAGTTTTATGATAATGCATTCATTATATGCATTCCTTTTGAACTAGGGTCAGGTCTGATATATCCCTTGAAAAAGCTACAAAATGAAAATGTCTACAGGAGACTCCAGTAAATGAAGTTCTGTAACAAGCAGCTAATCAGGGAATTAAGATTCATTTGAAGATTAAGTTAATACTCGTCTTTCTCTGTGGTGTTCTCTGGAAGATCAAACAGTTCCTTAGGCCCTTGTTGTTCTTCCTCTTTCAATCTTTCTTTTCCAAACTCTGAAGGATAAATCTAGAAATAAAACAATACAAACATAAATTTTAACTGTGGAGCAAATTGTATAGCAATTAAGAATAAGATCTCACCAAGCCTTTTACAATTCACTGATTTTTAGAGAGAAAAAAAGATATGGGTTCAATTCTACAAGTTTTAATATCTGCTTAACCTTAAAGAAAAGACAAGGAAGTGAACAGACTGTTAAACAAGAGACTATTTTGAGACAGATGAAAACGGATAGGAGCAATAATTTCATTCATCTTACTGTGGCCCTCTTCTGAAAGGGCTACTAGACTGACTCAGGAAGTTTCTGCTGCAGGCAAGCACTAAAACTGGAAAAACATTACTTTGATCAGAAGGTAACCAGTTTATAAATAATTCAAAATTGAAAAACAAACAATAGAGGGCAACGACAAAAGGAGTTGAAGTGCACTTAGAAATCTCCAAGTTTAAGGCTGAGTTATCTACCAGATAGACTACTGAAAAGCAATCTAGCTAAGGAAATGGAGTCTCCCTCTACTAGGTTTTGAAAACTTCACTATTAATCTCAGCAAAACAGCACTTGGAGCCAACATCATATACACAATATGTTAACAGCTTCAGAATCCAAGCCCATCACTAGAAAGCAGTTATGCTTTACATTTCAAGCTAAAAAGATTGGGAAGAATTTAGAGTGGAAGACACATGAGGAGCAGCTAAGTCCCTTGGTTTGCACAGAGCAGAGGAGCGGAGGGGAGGCCTGATGGCAGCTGCAGCTCCCCCAGGGAGCGGAGGGCAGCGCTGAGCTCTGCTTTCTGTACAGCGACAGGGCTGAGGGAACGGCATGGAGCTGCGTCAGGGGAGGGCAGGTGGGGGTGAGGGAAAGGCTGTGCCCCAGAGGGCGGTGGGCACGGCCCCAATGCAACACATGTCAATTCTCATTTATTGTGTCTTGGTTCTTACACCTAATTAACTTCCTTTGCTTCTATTTTGTTGGCTTTCCCCCAGCTTTAGAGTAAAAAGCCATTTCCTTCTTTTAGAAATCAGGTCTTACCTTAATAGAAAATATAGTTCCTCCTTTGGGTATGAAAGAATTAAATAAAGCCAGCAAGTCCTTAGCTTTAAGTCTATCCCAGTCCATATTACAAACTGCCAATCTACTTGTAATCTGAATGGGAGGAAAAAAAAAAAGTTTAATTCCTGACCACTGTGGAGAATATACAATTCTCTAACAACTGTTCTATGTAAACACTGAAGTCAGCAACAAGCTCTACTTAAAAATACAAACAGAATTTTCCTTGAGACTTGATATCCAAGTGGTAAAGCAAAACAGATATGCTAGACTGCGTTAATCACAGAATTAAGACTAGATTTATAATATCAGTGCTTCAGATTGTTAACACGTGGTTAGTCACAACAGCAATAACTAACACAGTATTATAACAGCAGTGTGGTACTGTGATTTTTGTATGAACTAAACATGACCAGTTTTAAAGTCCTGCTTCCTTGTCAAATAACTTATTATTTAAGCTTGAATTAGAGAATTCATATTTAAAAAGTGAAAAATCAGTAGCCAACAACAGCAGAACTATTTAAACCCCGGAATTCCTTTAAAAGCATAGTTCCATTTGTTTTTTTACCCGAATTACAGATAGAGCTTATCTATCTACAGATGACCCTCTGCTTAGAGACAGAGGGAGACATCAGAGAATACTTAAGGTCTCACATTCATGGCCAACTTCACCAATCACTTGCATTTTGTAATCAAAAATGTCCAAAAACTGTTCTGACAGAAAGCTTCACAAGTTGTTACATAGTCAAAAGTGTACAACAAACTTATGACTGTACATCTTTGAGTTATTCACACAGCAACCTGTCACGTGCAGAAGCAATTTTACCTCATCTCCACGAGGGGCATCTTTATCTAGTTCACCCCATGAATGCTCAATCTCTGGCTCCTTTGGAAATAGATCATCTAAGTCATCATCATCCTCCGAGCTTGTTTCAATGTTCCCTATACCTCTAGCCAGATCAGGCTCTATATCACTTTCTCCATCTTCTGAATCACCACCTTCATCTGTTTCCTCACTGTCTTCTGACTCCTCATCCTCATCTGTTTCCCCACTGTCTTCCAACTCTTCTTCTGATTGCATATACTCAGAACTTTCCCTTGCAGAAATTTCTTCCTCTAATTGGCTTTCACCGATGTCACTTTCAGCACCGCTGTCTCTGCAAGTAGTCACTAAAACACAAATATTAGGTATCTGACTTTATGTTGTAAACTCATATGATCTTTTACAGAGAGGAAAAACATCTTAAGCTTTTTTTCATGCTGATTAAAAGAATCTCTGGAAGGTAGAACAAGGCAGGAACAAATTACATCAGGGAAATTCAAACATCGGTATTAAGTGTTCTGCTTCTCATTTGTTGCTTTGTGGTCCCCTACTTGTGTTACTGGTTTAAAACTGACAGAATGATATCATTTTATTCTATGTTCCCCAGAGGGTGGTGAGGCACTGGCACAGGTTGCCCAAGGAGGCTGTGGATGCCCCATCCCTGCAGGCATTCAAGGCCAGGCTGGATGTGGCTCTGGGCAGCCTGGTCTGCTGGTTGGTGACCTGCACACAGCAGGGGTTTGGAACTGGATGAGCACTGTGATCCTTTTCAACCCAGGCCATTCTACGATTCTGTGATATTTCATCTTTCTTACTACCCTAACAAACAATTTTGGCTCCATCAATGGGAAGGCCATGACTGTCTCCAATGTTACTGAAGAACACGTACTGATTCTTTGAGCAGCTCACTCCCATTAGTAATAACCCAAGTCTGCTCTTCTGGTTGATTTATTGAAAAAAGCGTTTTTCATTTATAAAATAGGAACAATACCAAAATAAGTACAGCTAAATTCTATCTGTTATTGTAAAAACTAACCTGATTCCTGTATTTTTCCTTGTACGGAACAGTCCCTCTTTGCAGCTTTAACTGTATTAGCACCTCTTGGCTTTGAAGTCTTCTGCTTATTTTGAACTGAAACCAACCTTCCTTTTGATTCACCTCCTTCCTCATTTTCTGTATCACATAAAAGGTCCTTGTTTCCCTGGGAGTCATCCATTTCTGTTCTGGTTTTCTTGGAGACCTCTTTCAATTTGAATCTAGATGCAACTTTCTGTCCTTCGTTCTGAGGGTCATCTTTACATGCTTGGTCCACCCCTTGTTTTTTCATTTTACTCTCTTCCTGAGGAATTGGTTTTACAGAATCTCCTTCCTTAGGTTTAGCTTTTTTCTTCTTTTTTTTCTTTTCTGCACGTACTTCGCTCTCATCTTCTGAAAGTTCAGAGTCAGATTCCGACAAGGCATAGAACTTCCTGAGGTTCTCTACAGAGGTGTAGTTAACAGGTCGACCTCTTTTATCCACTGTGCACTTCAGCTTGAACCTCTTGTCATGAAACATTGCTCGAAAGCGTTTGTCAATCTTGACTTTACGGTCTTTTTCTGGCATCTCCCAAAACCTGGGATCCCGGGCAACGCGGCTGAACCGCCCATCGCTCAGTATTTCCTTCTGGGATGCCATTTTTGATGTCACTAAAGTCTGGAATGAAAAAAAAAAATACACAAACAGAAACCCCATATTAACAAAAAACAGAAGCAAGATTTCTAACATCTACATTATTTTTTGCAAATGCACATGCGGGAATCACTAAGGTTGGAAAAGACCACTAAGATAAACAAGCCCAAACCCACAGTGCCCACTGCCCGCAGTGCCACATCTCCACGGCTCTGGTGATCCCACCACTTCCGTCCCAGCGGAGGGACCGTCACCTTCTGCTTCCCCCTGGCCGCCCTCCCGCTGACACACGCTGAGGTGCCGTCGGCCTTCTTGGCCACTTGGGCCAAGCACACTGCTGGCTCACGTTCAGCCGGCTGTCAGCTAACGGCGCCTTAAACGAGCCCTTATCGACCCAAAGGTTATCGACCCAAAGGTTCCATCCCAACCCAGACTTCAGGCTGGCGCTCCCCACGCTTCATACCCTAAAACACCATTTGGGAGCTAATACAACAAAGCTCTTCCCCACAGACCGATCCGAGGGAAACACGGCCCCGCTCCCCGCTCGACCCCGGCCGCGAGGGAGCGCATCCCGCTCTAAGCCGTGCCCATCGCCCCACCTGAGACGCGCCGCTCCACCAAGCGCGGGCCCACCACGCGCCGGCCAGCAGCACTACGGCGGCCGCAGCGGGACACACCAATCTCCGGCCGCGGCGGCGGAACTGCGGCGGCGGTGCTGTCGTGCGCATGCGCAGGGCGTAACATAAATCGCGGCCGCGAGTATGGCGGCTGTGGTTGGAGTGGTGGCGCGAACTGTGGCACTGAGGGACGAGGTCGCGGGGCGGGGTGAGCTTGGTGAGCTTGGTGAGCTTGGTGAGCTTGGTGAGCTTGG